AAATAAAATGCAATAATATTTTAAGAGTGTCTGGTATTTCTTCGAACAAAACGAATCGGAGTTTGAAGAAGGAGAAGGAGAAGGAGCCCTCGACCCGCAACAAGAACGATTTATTCAATTACATAGTTTGGGTTCGTAGACTATGACGCCCTTGGAGATTTCTATTTGATTGTATCGAAAGGCCCAATGAATTGGGATTTCCCTATTAGGCTAGGTAATTTCTAGGCAAGCGGATCATTTCTGATGATGAGAATGATTCGGAGTTCTTGTAGAGTGGAACCGTGCAGTACCGGACACGAGATAGATCTTCCAACGAACAAGACTTTTTTCGAATAAGCCAATTCATTTGGGATCCTATCCACTCTTTTCATATTCAAAAATCCGTCTTTTGTCTCAGTGTTTTCGCATCGACTTCATTAATTTTAATAAAAAATATGTGAGTTTTTTTTCCTAAAAGATATTTATCAAATTTATTATTAGTATATATTTAGATGTGAGAGATTTTTAATTAATATAAAATTTATAAAAGCATTAAAACTAATATAATATTTTAAAAAATTAAAATAATAAAATTTAATAATTTGTAAAAGTAATAGAAAAAATGGTACCAATGTTAAAGTGCCACGTGTAGTTGGCAAAAGTGGGAGGGGCCCACCAAAGGCATGTGTGGTAAGGAGGTTAGAATAATTTTATTATGGTTTGCAGTCAAAGTCCAGCAAACATTAGATGTCACCTTCTGCACATCATTCCCCATCTCCTCTTACAAACCAACTCATTAACTATATATATATCTATATATATATATTTTAAATATATATTTTTATCCACATATTCATGAAAAAAAATTAATTTATTTTTAATATATGTATGGTGTTAATGCTAATTTTAAAATTTTATAGATATTTTTTAAACATGGTAACATATTTTTGAACGGATTAAAAAATTTAAAGATATTAATGATATTTTTTTAAATTAAAGGATATTTTTGAAATATTATTGAAAACTTTCATTTAAAAAGAAATAAGAAATAGTAATGATTTTAAAAATATTTTTTTATTTCTTTTTTATTTTGAAAGATATTTATTGAAACTTTTAGAAATGTAAGATAAAATACAAAATTTAAGAGTATTTTTATTTTTATTTCTTCGCCCGACACATTTTCGGTCGAACATATATGAGTATTTTTATATATGAAAACTTGTTTTTCTTTTTTGCTCGGGTTTCTTCCAAATTTTAATATAAATATTTTTGTCTTTTCGCGTGAATCAAATTCCAACTTTAAAAATATAATACACGTCACGAGATAAACTCACAAATATTGATTACATTTTAATCTATGCTTTTAAAATATATTATAGTAACTTCTACAAAAAGAAAAAAAACGACTATTTATTTATTAAAGCATAACCTAGGTTTAAAATGGGGTGTACATGAATTGGTTCGAGTCTATTTTCAGTCAATATATATATTGGCACGTGTTTTTTTGAATGAGTATTGAAATATTTTAAAAATGGAATGAATTGTCCAACCATAAATTGAATTAGTTGGTTCGATGAATTGTTCGAGCCCACTCTAGAAGTCATAATAGAACAAATGGATTATGATTAAACAATTTATGTTTGTGATCTAGCCGGGAATATCGATCACACTTCTGTTTCTCATTCTTAACATGGTATTACAGTAGTGCAAGTCAATTAACGCATCAATCGTGGATATCGATCATTAGTAAATATGGTTGATGCTTCTCAACTGAATACAGAAGAACAATCATGTAATTCTCGATCATCTGCAAATAAGGCCGATATTTCTCAACTGAATATAGAAGAACAATTGCCTAATTTCATTCCATTTTTTTTTTTATGAGCAGTTACAACAACCAGATAGCACAAACCTTATCTACACTCATCATCGTTCCGTAATTCTGACACTTACATCAATGGTGCAGATTTGTTTCCAGTATTTGCAATATCCATTAACTTTACTAGTTCTAATTCATGGATTCTCAACCGTGGAGCTATGGATTATATAATATCCAAACCTTCTATTCTGACTGAACGAAAGGCTGCAATCATGTCTACAATAAATTTACCTAATGAAGGGAGCACATGTGTCACATACTGTCAATGTTTTTTTAATCCTGGCCTTAAATTAGACAATAGTTTATGCATGTCTTCATTCAAGGACATCAAGCAAACTTACCCATGACTGAAAATGTTGTGTCACCTTCTATCTTGATTCTTGTGTTATGCAGGACTTGGCTATGGGGAAGATGATTGGCTCGAGTAAACAATTTGGAGGTCTCTATCATATTTCTTATCTCCAATCAAATCTTCAGCTCATCAAATATCTCAGTCATCTGATTTGTGGCATATACGCCTAGGTCATCCTTCATTTTGTTGTTTTAAATTTCTTGCTGATCAATTGCATCTTGATAATGCTATTTTTTCTCACACGGTAGTATTTGCCCATTTAACAAAACAAACTAGGTTGTCTGGAATCCAAGAACTCAACAACAACATATTTTGTCTTTGATCTGTTACATTGTGATGTTCGGGGAACACATAAAATTCCTACCCATTCTGGTTTGTATTTTTTTCTCACTATTGTTGATGATTTTACTCGATCGGGTTTTTCTTATGCAACATAAATCAAAAGTACAACATTTGTTAATGAACTTTGTTAAATTTGTTCAAACCCAATTTCATACTAATGTCAAGATAGTACGATCAAACAATGAGATTGAGTTCCTATCTTTGCAAGCATTTTTTACTTCTTGTGGCATTGAATTTTAACGCACTTGTGTCTATACTCTACAACAAAATGGAGTCTTAGAACATAAGTATCGTCATATCCTAAATGTAGCTAGGTCTCTTTTCTTTCGATCATAGTTTCAACTTAATTTTGGGGAGGGTGCATTTTAACGACAGTTTATCTTATAAATAGAACATCATCACCATTGTTATCTAACAAGACACCCTTTGAAGCACTTTACAAACGACCAACTACATTTCATCATCTTAAAGTCTTTGGCAGTAAATATTATGCAATAGTAGTACATCCTAAACAAAATTTGAATCTTGAGCAATTTCTTGTGTTTTCGTAGGATATCATGGTTGTCATAATGGTTACAAGTTGTATAACATACAGTCTCACAAATTCTTTATCAATCATGATGTTAAATATTGTTAAGATGATTTTTCTTTTTTATCAGTTTCACAAACTTCGACATCAGCTCATTCAACGATGCGTTTAACGAAATGATATGACTATGATATGTGTTATGGTACAAGACGTTTAACAATACGACTCATATTGTGATATGTTGGGACCTTATGCATCATTATGTGTACATGCGTCGGAGAATACCCCATTTTTACGATAGTAGGGACGCGTACGTTCCACAAGAAAGCGATCATTATGGTTATCATAATGTTGTGACGGCCTAACAATTAAGGCAATAATAAAAATTTATGGAGATGAGAAATAACAATAATGATATTAAATCATTAACCTAATCCTTCCCAAACTTTGCTTTAAGCAATAAAATATTGATTGTATATTATCATTATTTCACTTTTTATCTAATATGGAAGAAGTTTGTCTTCAATCATGAGATTGATTAAGAACAACTTTTTGTTCGTTTTATTCGAACGAATAGTCTTTTATCTCGATTGACGTGAATAATTGTTACTATGTATCTAATAAAATAAATGATGTGACTGTCTGTTCAAACATATTTTCATGGTTAAATTATGATATCTTATAAGTACGGTCTAGATCACACCTATATACGAAAGGATACACTACATCATGTAATCGCTTTGATTTGTCCAGTTGAAACCAGAGAAAGGACGTGGTTGTTTGTTCAAATATGTCTCTACCATTTGGTCATGATATTTCATATTTTTGGTCAAAATCACACTCATATATCAAAATATATACCATTTTTTCCATGTAATCATTTCAATGAGACAAAGGGCGTGCCTGTATTCGAACATATCTCAACCGTTGGATCGTAATGTTTCGCACCCACACACGAAATGATAACACTTTTTCATGTAACCACTCTAATTTGAATAGTTATATAAATCTTAAGGGTAAAATAGGAATTCAAAAATATATATATATATATATATTTCTTTTTAAATATTAAGATGGCCTAGAAATTAAAATTATTTTCAAAGAGAAATTCTTATTAAATTAGCTTATAATTTTTAAAAGTGATTTTTTTTAATTATATTTAAATGAAATTATTAAAATCCTTTTGTTTTTAAATTATTTTGGGAAAGGCAAACAAATTAATTATCTTAAAATTCAAGATATTAATAACTTTTTTTCTTAAAAAAAACAAAAAACAAAACATGAAGAGTACTTACCTAAATTTTGACAAAATTTTGCAATTTATTTATTGAAATGTCAAAAATACCCCTATATTCAATCAAATTTCCCTTTTTTGGAAATCAAATTTGTTTAAAGAGAAAAATCAATATATTTTATTTTAATAATTAAAAACAATTTTTTTTTAGAGTTTTTGTAGGACAACAATTTAATTTTTTATTTTCAATTTTAAAATAAATTCAGACATACTTTCAAACATCCTTAAAAAAAAAAAAAAAAAAACATAATTTGCTTAGAAAATTTAAAGATAATGATAAAAAAAAAAGGACCAAAAAAGCATTATAACCAAAAAGAACATTATTTTACTGTATTTTCACTTTTCCCCCCCAAAAAAAAGATAATTAAAAATTCAGACTTTGCAGTTCAGTACCTGAATGGATAGATCTTGACCAGCTAAAAAGATTCTTACCCACTCCAACAACAATTTGTTTTTCCCCAAATTTATAACCATAAAAAAAAAAAAAAAAAAAAAAAA